GCCCTGTGTTTAGGAGCATGGGCCACTTACAACCATGTGACTTTGGCAAGAAGCGTTCTCTCTACACTGCAGTTTACTAATATCTAACTCATAAAGTTGTCGGTAGGATGAAAGGAGAAAGCTATTGTCACATGCTTAGTATGGTGCTTGTTTTTGTTGTTGTTTAGCTCTGCTTATAAATTGTTTTGCCTTAAATATTAACAATAGTACAAAAAACAAAAATGAAAAACTCCCCAACTTATGCTGACCCACAGTAAAGGTTGGAAAATACCAGACCACACTTGTGCTAAGAATGCAGTCTTTGATGGGTGATACTTTGGAAGTGAGATGAGAGAGGAAAAGTGAAATTATTCCTTATTAGTGAAGAAGAAATACATTCATTTGAAACCAGTTTTGCTGCCACAAAAATGATGGATTTAAAGACTTGTTTAGTCATGCTCCAAAAGCTCAAAAAAAGGTTTTAAAAAAGTGCCTTAGACCGACAATATTATAATCAAGTCAAACATATCTGGAAATTGCCAAATTTCTAGTGCTCCAAGGCTAAAGCTTTTCACTATAAAATGTGCTTTCAATAGGACTTGACTGTGAATGAGGCAGCAGTGAGAGATTTGCTTTCTCTCCAGCACAGGTTTCGGTGTCAGACCCATCCATGTTTGGGTCCGAGTTTCACCACTCACTCTCCATGTGACTTTGGGAAAATCATTAACCTCACCAGGTGGTTTATTTTCTATAAAATAAGAATATGAACTGGACCTACCACAAGTTTTGTATCTTTGCTATGAAACTTGAACAAGAGTAAATATCATGCATTTGCACAGCTTTGACCCATTCTAGCCCTTAATAAAAGTTAGCTATTATTATCATCATTTTATTATTCTTGTTTGTTTGGAAATGTGAATTTTTTATTTTAACTTTTTGGTTTTTTGACAGTTTTATTTTCCCTAAGAGCTAACACTGGATTCATAGATTATCTTGTTGGGTTTTCTTATTTATAACTCAACACTCTGAGACACTGACAGAGGTTTAAATACACAGAGTGATCAATAAAAAAGTGGTATGTAGACAGGTGTGTGTATGTGTGTGTGTGTGCACGCGCGCGCGTGCATGCGCGCAAACGCACATGTAGGCATGTGTGTGATTTATTGTATTCAATAGATCATTAAATTGTATTTATATATGTAAGTGACCAGAAAAATAATGAAAATGGCCTAAAATTAAAAAATAATAACTTTTGGAGCATTTCTCAGAATAGTCTACTTTGGAAATGTCCATGTATTTCTATCACATATTTCAAGCTGCACCTTATTAACTTGTACAAGTCACTGAGCTTCCTGGTGACGAGTTCCTCGTATATGAAATGGGGATAAGAAGACTTACTAAATAAGATTTACAAAGTGTCATTCATTCAATATGTTTATTAGGTGTAATGGTGAACAGGATAGGCATGATTCCAGCCCTCATGGAACTTACAGTCTAATAGGAATAACAGACATTGAGCAGTGTAATGAGTGTCTAAAACAGCGGTTCTCAACCTATGGGTCGTAACCCCTTTGGAGGTCGAACGACCCTTTTACAGGGGTCACCTTAGACCATCAGAAAAGGAAAACAAAAAGATATTTACATTACGATTCATAACAGTAGCAAAATTACAGTTATAGAGTAGCAACGAAAATAATTTTATGGTTGGGGGTCACCACAACATGAGGAACTGTATTAAGGAGTCGTGACATTAGGAAGGTTGAGAACCGCTGGTCTAAAGAAAGAGAGCAGGGTACGATAGGAGCGGAAACAGGCAAATCTAGTCTAGTCTGAGGAAGTGGCATTGGATTTGTATGAGTTAAAGGTAATTATGGAAAGAGGACTGGAGCTCAGGGTAAGAATTGGTTACACAGAGTAATTTACCCATTCATTCATGTGTTCATTCAACAAATAACATGGACAAATCCCTGCCTTCAAGGAGCTTCCATATTATATACCCGCCACAATGCCTAGTGCACAGTAGGCACTTAGTCAGGTTAAGTCTCTTCCATAAGCCTCACATATCCATACCCATTACCTCTGCTTTCATCAAGTCTTATCTGAGCTACTCCAACGCTATCCCCACTTAGCCCATCTGCTACACAGCTATCAATGTTATCCAAAAACACTTATCTTTTAATGCTCTCTAGGACTATTATCTGTCTTTGGAGCACTTGTTGGAGGAAATTTCATCCAACTGTTCCACAGAATCCTAAAAATGAGGTCTGTTTCTTTGTGGGTTAATTACTGTTGGCCACACTACACCCTGTATTTAGAACCCCCACCATAAGAAGGATAGAAGTTTTATGAGCTTTTTGGTTTGGTCTTATAATAGTAAACTGAAATCTGATGTGTTAGGTCTGTCAGGCCTGAAAATACATTTCCAACTTGAAATGTCTGAAGATTTGAACAGTTTTATAGCTTAGAGACTATTACTTCATGTATAATTTTATTCTTTTATTTCCAGTATTCAGTTGCTGTTTTGATGCATAGAAAGTGGATTGTTTAACGCAAGTTGCTTCCAAAATATATTTCAGAAGATTTGCCAAAGGAATTGCCTCATATATGATTTTGTTTCTCATTTGCTATCCATCAAATCACTGTTATGCAAAAATTCCCCATGCAACTAAAGTTGTGTTTGTGTGTGCATGTGTATAAAAGAGATCCCCAGTATAGCCTTTGATAATTGTATCCACTTAAATATCTAATTTTAAGAACGTAGCCCTTTTCTTTTTGCTTGTTATTACAGTAGTTAAAAAATTATGGTATTTTGGAGCAAGGAGAAGTGAAGCTTCAAAAATATAAGGTTCTTCAAATTTCCAAGTTTTTCATGGAACTTGACCTGTGATATATTATCAGCAAACATAACACTTAGAAAAAGAACAGGTTTTTTTTTTTGTTCTATCTCTGTTAAGTTTCTATGGGTTACAAATGACAGAATATAAATCAAATTGGTTTAAACAATTAAAGATTTATTTGTTCACATAACTGAGCTGTCTAAATTGATCCAAGCTTCTTTCTTTTTTTCTTTTCTTTCTTTCTCTGTTTCTTACTCCTTTCTCGGAGCCCTAGTAATCATAATAAGGCTTTCAACAGCTTCTGGGGCTGCATCCTTCTAGTTTCTAATTCAGAAGAAAAGAGCAAATGTTTTTCTCTCAGCATTCTTAACATACTTTCTGTGGTTGGTTCTAATTGAACCCACTTGGGTCACATGACTGCCCTTAATTCAATCTCTGTGGTCAGGGAGATGCAGTGTGGTGATTGGCTCAGGGCAATCATGTGCTCCACTCCTGCTGGATACAGACCCCTGTGCAGACCAGATGAGCAGAAAATGGAAGAGGAGTAGATTCACACATTCAAGCCAAGGCTGTTGCTGGAAGGAGGGGAAATGAATGCTGGTGAGATAGACAACTAATACTCACTTTAAAGTCCACTTTTCACTAAGTCCCTCTCTTTTCACATGTCACCAGTCTCTCTGTCCCTCTCTCTCTCCATCCCTATCCCTGCCCAGTTCATGCACCATTCTGGAGCTAGATATACCTTCCTGAGGGGATGGGAGTGGAGAACCTCCCCATATTTCTTCCCTGCTTCCTAAAAACAATTTCTAGCCTTCCATTGCCTACAGAGTGCTTCTCAATCTAGGGTACATACTTCCAAAGACTGTGGCAGTACACTGGAGAATGAAAACATAAAATAAACTGGACATGTTTTCCTTGGCCATCACTTTCACTTGAAGAATTAAAACAAGTATATTAAGTCAATATTGTCAAATCTAGATATATTATGGGATAGGTTTGCAAAATTCACATGAATTCAGATATACCACAAGACTTCAAATAAAAATTATGCCTTCAACTTGCATATTTAATGCAATGGCCTGTGATTCTCTGGTGCAGTTTTACTTGCTTACAACATAAAACTCCAAATTCTTAGCTTGGTCCACCAAAGTATATGCAATCAGATACCAATCTCTGTAGCTTCATCTACTCTCTTGTCACAAATACCTCCTGCCCCCCTGAACTTTTCACTGTTTAATATGACTCTATGTGTTTATTCATATTATGCTCTGTATCAAAGTTGCCCCTTCCTATTCCACTTCTATGCCAGGAACACTTTTATTTATTCTTCAGTACCCAATTCAAGGAGTAATTCTGCACCAAAGCACATCAAAATCAAATATTTACTTTGTAAAAATTTTCCTGACTCTTTGGCAATGAGCCTTCTCTCAATTTTTGAGTCCTAGAATATTTTATTTATACTACTGTTATAACACATACTACATTATATTGAAGTTGGAATTTGGGGGGATGTGTCTGTCTCTTCCTGTCAGGCTCTGGTCTCAGTAACAACCCCATCTGACACAGGACTGGCAATTAATATATATTGATTGACCAACTGAGGACTGACATTATGCCTCATTCTTATTTGTACTTCCAATGTCTCATACAAGACCAAAGCAAGTCCCCGAAAATGTACTGAATAAATTAATACCGAATGTAAGATTTCCAATACTTAATACCAGATCCTAGAGATACCTTGAGCTTCTTTCCTGAAATTAAGGGAATGGGAAAAGATGTAGGTCAGGGAAAAATGAGTGGTAATTACAAAGTGGCAAGCTCTTGGGTAATATCAGGAGCCAAGGACAACCACTTGTGGGACCCTTCTCTCTGAGCAACCCAAGTAATAGAGTCAATTCCTAATGGAGAGAGAGGACAGCTTGAGGGAATCGGCTCAGTGTTAGTGCAGATGCCTTTGGGCTTCAGTAACAGAAAACCTCAACTTAGCAATTTAAGCAATAAAGAATATTTAAGTAGGATACAAATAGCAAATAAGTAGAGTACAAATGCCAGGGTTGCTATCTAGGTTACTTCTATCTTTTCTTTCTGCCAACTCCAGCATCTCAGCTTTGTCTTTGGCTAATTCTCTTCCTGGTTGCAAGATAACTTCCTGAGTTTTCTATCATGCAGGCGTGACAGTGGAAGAAGACTATCTCTTCTTCGTGACTCTTTTAATAATAATAAGCTGTTCCCAGATTTCTCCTCACATTTCACTGAACAGAACTGAGCCACATGCTCATACCCAGAGGAATGGACTAAACCCAGGATCGGCTAAATCCAATCACTTTGGAATTGGAAATCAGCGCCCATAAAGGACATGTGAATGAACAAAAATTGGATTTAGGTTGCGAAGAAAAAAGAGAATTTATTGTAGGGCAGATGATTAACAGGAATTTCTATAGACTCCTTCATCATTGCTGGTGGAGAATAATTTTTGGAGCAATGAAAGAGTTGCAGCCCAAAGGTAGGTAAGATCCTGCTGCAAGGGATTTCCAGTTTAGAAAGGTATTTATCCATGTTTAAAAATTCATGTCTTAATGCTCTATGAAAAAAATATGATATGAAAGTTTATGTATTTGATCATTATAACTGTACAGATTTTTTAATTTGCCTAGGAAAAAAAATTTAAAAGAAATAGTCCAAAATGGTGGTTATTTGGAGTGGTTTGATGTAGGGTGATTCTTTTTCTTTTATATGTTTTCAAAGTTTTGTAATGTGATTACATTACTTTATGCTGCTATATATTATATAAAATAAAGAGACAAGGAGAGAAATTATACACACACACACACACACACACACACACAGTGCCAAAAAATGTATATATATTTTAAGAAAGTAAAAAATTGTATTAAAATTGTAATACTCAATATATACTGATAACAAAAGATGAATATGTCATATGAATGTGTATGTGTATATATATATATATATGTATATAATCTTATTATTTCTCTCTTTGTCTGTTTATAATTTAACCCCATTGAACAGAATAGTTTTTATATTCTGATGTCAGAATGTAGTCTCAGAAGTAGGCAGTTTTTGGGCCAGCTGAGTGGCGCATTGGTTAAGAGCTGGCTTGGGATGCCAGAGGGCCCCGGTTCAGATCCCACATATGAGGGCCAGTGACACTGCCCTCTACAACTAAGATGCTGAACAACAGCTCAACCTGGAGCTGGGCTGCCGTGAGTCGCTGGCATCGGCATAGTCTGCAGCCCCTGCTGCAGTGGGTTGCCATGGGCTACCGTGTGTAGCCAGCAGTCAGCGTGAGTGGCCAGCAGCTGCCGTGAGCGGCCTTCCACAAGCTGGCGACTGATCTGCCTCACCCGGGAAGAGTGCAATGATGGTGCCAACTTGGGCCAGTGAAGCAACGTCCTCCACAACTAGACTGAAGAACAAAATGACAGCAACTTGTCTGTTCCCCTTCCCCCAATTCTCCAATAAAAATCTTAAAAAAAAAAGTAGGCAGTTTTTTTTTTTTAAATATATACAATTTTATTTGTCAATTGTATTTCAATAAAGCTGGAGGAAAGAAAAGAAAGCAAAAACAAAAACCTCATTTAGATATACACACACGCTGTTGAACCTAAAAACCTAACTCTAAAGTTTGGATCATATTTTTAATATGAATTAAATGACTTCCCAATTGAAATTGCTAGACAGGGAGTGGGAAGTAGGCAGTTTTTAAAAGATTTTATTTCTAAATTACTCAGAAACTTCAGACACTGCCTCTCACCCATCTCTGAATAATGGCAAAGTGTTTGCTTCTCGTATACCTCTTTTAAAAATGACTATATCCCAATATAAAATGTGACCCAAGACTTTCTTCTACTGTACTTTAAAAATTCCCTGAAACCTTATAATAACAGCCTTGGATGCTGGTGCTGACTTACAGTCAATGTCTGTCTAAATCTGTGACATATTTCAATGTAACTTTTGTTGGTTGTGTAAGGTTTTATTTGGCGCAAAGAAAATGGTTATTTTTTTCTTTTGTTGTGATTTTTCTGATTGCATTTTTTTCTTCTTTTCTAGGCCTGAGCCATGCTTTCCTTTTTCTGAGCTCTACCCTCATGTCTGTGTGTCCACCATGCCCACTGGATGGCCGGATTCACCAGTGGATTCCTCACCACTGTCATTTTACATACTTCTCATCATTTCCTTCTAAACCATCTAGAATCCTGCTGGAGCTTTAAGGAAGAGGTCAATGGCCTATAGAAAAGACTCTCCCATCTTGAGAATAAATATACATTCTGGACTTATTCTTCCCTCTCAGGGATATCTGTGTCTTAACTGAACCAGAAAAGATTATTTAAATTTCTTTATTTGTGGCAAGTCACATTAGGGGAGTGAGGGAATGGTCGTTAGGTTGATTTTCCATCATATTTTAGGCTGTGGAAACTTAACTTCCTTCCGCATCAGGGAGGAAGCTTGTGGGTCTACCATCATTTCATGCGTGTCAAGCAGTCATAGATGGTCAGAGTTTAAAAGCAACTGCTCATACAGACCTGGTTGCATCTTTACTTGGTCTCCAGGACACCAGTCTCTCTTGGATCTCTTCCTACTTTACTGGCCACTCCTAACAAGTCTCTTTTGCTGGTTCCCCTTCATATTCCCAACCTCTAAATATTGAAGTACCAGAGATTTTACTTTGGGTCTCTTCTGGACTGTACCTACATAACATTCCCTCTCCCCTGCTTTAAATACCACTTGAAAGCAGAGGCTCCCAATGTCTGTCTCTAGCCTGAACCACTTTGTAAACTCCAAACATCTTCTCTTAGATGTCTAGTAGACATCTAAAATTTAACAAGTCCCAAACTGAACTCTTGATTTTCCACCCCAAATGTGCTTTCCCTGCAATTCCTCATCTCAATCAATGACAAATGCACTCTTCCAGTTGTCGAAGCAAAGCCTGGAGTCACCTTGAATCTTCTCTACTGCATTCAATATCCAGTCCATCAGCAAATCCTTTTTCCCTCTACTTTTAATATCTATTCATAATCTGACCACTTCTTACCAACTCCACCATCACCTTAGGGCAAGCTACATCATCTCTTTCCTACAATATCAGAGTAGGTCCCTAACAGGTCTCTCTGATTTTCTTCCTTATCTTCTATAGTCTATTCTCCACAAAAGAAACTATCTTTTTTAAATGTAAGTAAGATCACGTCACCTGTCTCTCTATAACCCTTGAGAACATCCCATCTCACTCATGAAAATGAACTCCAACATCCTTACCATTGTACATTGCCTAGAAAGCCCCATGAGCTTTGTTCCCCTGCTACTATTCTTATTCTGCCAGTCCCCTCCTGTTTTACTCCACTCCAGTCAGGGGTGACTTCTCCAATGGGCAGAAGGCACAGTGCCAAAGGCCTACAAAACTCTTAGGACAGAAACTTTGAATTTCTTTTAAAAACAGAAGAAAAAAATTTTATGTTAAAGACAATATTTTAACATATTAATATATTTTTATACCAACATAGCTATAAAGTATATTTTTAGTTTAGTTTTTTTTTTTTTATATAAAGGAAGGAACTCACAAAGAAGTTCACAGGGCCCATGAAAATCCTAATGTGTGATCCTGGGGAAAGTCTAGGCTGAATGCAGGATGAGCGGGGAAAGTCTTACTATTTTATAACGTGGGGAAGCTAAGGAATTGTTCCGTCCTTTTTGATTTTGCATCTCCTGTTGGGTCCCATTTGTCATGTTTCAGTGATTGTTTTCTTCCTTGGGCTCAGCACTTTCTCATAGGAGTTCAGAACCCCATTTCACACAATGACAACCTGTTATCACCTGAATGGAATCCCACCTTTAGGTCTTGAGATGGCCACCCACACTTTCATTAATTAAGCATCTCCACTGCCTCCTGGGAACAGTGAGGAAAAACAGAAGGAAATTACCCTAAGGGAACCAAAGGGAAAGACCATCAGACTTGGAGCTCAACCTACCTGATTGCCTATTTAGCTGTTAAAAGAAAATAGTCCTTACTATGATGTATGCCCAAATTCCTTTAATTAAAAATACAGACTTTATATTTTCATTCTCAACATTTATATGACTGTGTTTGGTCTTTCCTTTTATAAAGGTTTTCTATCCTCTTGTATCTCAATGAAGGTGGAAGATTTATCTTTAATTTTCTCCTCCAATAATTACACCTTTTAAATACACATAAGTTATAGGTTATTGCTGTTATGACCTAGAAATTACCTATAAATCTAGCCAGACAAGTACCTTTACAAGAGATCAGAGAAATGGCTAACATACCCTCTCTGGCATTAGCTAAGAAGAAAAATTTTGGTAGGGAGTTCTAAGAGCATTCATAAATTGGTTTTGGGAAATCAGGTTCGTTTGCAATATGCATATGGTACCTAGTCTCAAAGCAATCCTAACTTAAGCTTTTACTTCCATTTTTTATTTTTCTGTAAAAATAGGCTCTTTCTAAGACATTTTTATTATTGGTCTACTTGCTTTTCCATCCATGGCAGTGTTTTGGAATGAATTACAGAAGGATACTTGGATGCCCAGCACTGAAAGCCATTAAAAACAGAATATCAATTCCTGGGAAATGTTCCTATCTGGATGTGCATAAATGAAATAATTGAACCCTCAAAGCTCTTTTCATGTCTTTAATTTGATGAAGCAATTCATGAAGCAGCACATTTATATTTCATAGCTCATTTACATGTTTGCCTTTCCTAGTGTTCCCTTTCTGACCAAGTTTCCTCCTTACTAATACCAGTTCAAACTGGTGAGACTTCAGACAAGCGGTTTCCCAGCCCCAACTGCACAATAGAATCATCAGAGGAGCTTTAGAAAAGTGCTGATGACCGGGCCCCGCCCTGGAGACTCTGATTCAGTGTATTTTAAGTATATATGTACATCTTGGTTAATTGGTTACCATGTCATCAAAGCAGATTAAACAGTAAGGAAAAAAACATTTTTCCTTCTGCCTATCTGTCTTGACAGCTAACAAATTATTTTTTTTACCCCCACCCAAATGGGACCAAAGACATTTTTACTTTTAGTAAGTAATGCAGGTTAACTCAAGAGGCAGTTGACCCTTTAAACAGCATGGCAATGCACAGAAAGACAGTTGGGTGGGCCTGCATGCCCTTAATATAAATGTCAACACCTACTTTGGGTCCCAAAATAAATATTTTTTAATATTGCCACATTCTGGACTGTCTAAACATGAACTATATCAGCTTGTCTGTATGTCTTAATGTAATAGCATGAAAGCTTCCATCAGCTTATTCTGTTTTTGCCCTATACATTAATTCTTCATTACATGAATTCCACCTCCGAAAAATTATCAGTAAGAGGTTGCAAGATGTAACACTGACCAGCAAAGTATTCTCTCACAAAGACCCAAATCTTTGTTTTTCACATAGGTATTAGCTAAACCTGACCTTATGTCCCTGGTTTCTTCCTGGTCTCCAACAATACAGATTTACTATGCCCTGCTGCCATTTTCCAGGAATCCTCAGAGTCACTGATGGATGTGATTGCTGTCTTCATCTTAATTCTCAGAAAGAGGTAGCTTGGGCAGAGGAATGAATGTGGGGCTGCTTTTTACCTCCATCACATTCTTTTTTGAGTCTTGCCAAGGAGAGGGATGAAAGCAGCCCCACAGGAAACTTTTTGTCCCCAAGCCCTTCTAGGTCTAAGGCTGGGAAGCCAGAGGGTCAACATCACTAACCCCTATCTGTGCTAAGCCTTTTGTTCCTGGGTTTCAACATAGTCTTTCTGACCTAAATGAGGACATTTTTAGAGATGTTTTAGGTGGGATGGAGAGCAGAGGGAGAAAAAAATGGAGTAAGACATCTCTGTAAAATTTATGAATCAAGATTATAAAAATTATACCGCAGCATTTTTCTCCTTTTGGCACTCTTCTCCCAATTGGTATAAAATAAGTAACAACACCCTCCTTTGTAGGGTCTCTCCTCTGTGTGTAACCCTTGGTTTGTGAGAGGAAGTTTAACCCTCTATGAGGTAAATGCCAGGAATCATTTGAGGATGATTTACCAGAAGGCAGGCAGGAAGCTGACATGTGGTGCATGTGTGTAAAGGAAGAAATACAGAGCCAGGGCATTTGATGTCACTGTGAGAGCCCACAGCGACCTTTGATACAGAACCAGGACAGGCAGTACTATTATTCCAATATTGCGCTTTCAAATGAGAAATGTAACCTTATATCTGATGACTCCCATACCCCTCATGGCACAATAAAGAATCTACCTTGGTTTACTACAGAACCACTAACTCCTGGAGATGCTGAAGAAACTACCCCAGCTCACCCTTTCTGCCCTGTCCACTCGAAAGCACACATAGGCTGAGTAGTTTTCTTATGGTCACCCAGTGACACAGGCTTACAACCAAGCATTTTCTTTTTTTCATTTCAGTGCTAATTCATTCCCCCAAAGTACAACCTTTTCTGGGAAATAGACATTTTAAATTGTAAGCTACTAGAAGACAGAAACTGTGCGTTTTAACCTGAGTGGTAAAACGCCCTACTCAAAGCAATGGAAAATACCAACCTGGGAGACAAGAGCCCGAGAACCTTGGCTTGACTGCCCTAGCAGGTCACTTGGTAAAATGAGGGCATTGGGTTACATGAACTCTCAGGTCTTTTAACTCTCTGATTGTGCACTGAAGAAATATTCATCGATGAACGTGAACGGCCATTTGTCATTGTTTACCATTCATGAACCTTTCCATCGTGGCAGCACTGCCTGCCCCACTCTTCCTCCGCCCTGCCCGGCACCCCCTGCCCTGTTTTGACAAACCCCCACCTAGCCCGGAAACTATCACTGGCCCTGTTTTCATTGCCTGTTTTCAAGGCTATGTGACTCGATCACTATTGTGTGTTTCAGTTATGTTTTCTCACCCTTGAGAAATCAAAACAATTGTCATCTTCTATATTTACATTCAGAAATCCCAGCAATGGTGTATAGATCTAGAGAAAGTGGTGTTGTTCTTGAGGGAAGGGATAAAATGGTACTGTTGTATTTCTCCATCCATGTTTTCAGAGCCCTTGAAAGAGCAGCATGCTTGTTATTTAAAAGGTTATGATATTCAGAGAGAAAAAAATATCGTCAGGGTACAGTAGCTGCACTGGTTTTTTTTTTTTTTTCTCCAAAGGCAGGAAATAGCTTGGCCAACCTGAAAATAAAATATGCTTCTCTTAAGCAGCTAAGCTTCTTAGACTCCCAGTCTGGTGGCAGAAACAGAATTGAGTACATAATGTGGACACGCCAATGCT